CACAGCCATGAACTATTCATTGGAATAAGTACCATAACATAATTTTTCATCCAAATCTGTTCAAGATTTCAGATAAATACAAAACTGCATTTAAAAAACTACTTTCCTAACACAATAAAATAAATGATGATGAATTTCCATCTAGTCATTTCAGCCCCGGTACATTTTTATGTCTGGTTTTGATCCGATACATTGCTGTAACTTTGTCTTTGAAAGAGTTTATAAACCAGTGGACAGATTTTTAATGAATCTGTCAGAAAGTAACCACATGTTTGGAGTCAGCCTGATCTAAGATGCCCTCAATGGCTAAATGACCTTAACCAACACATAAATATCCTTAACACAACCAGTTTTTACAGATGTTGTAGTAAATGTTGGTTTGGTAATAGCTGAGGGTCATGCTCACCTCATGCTCTGCGGGCTGACAAAAGTTATGACATCTTTGTCTAAAACTTTTCCATGCAACATGTCATACATGTAAAGTTTCATTACAGATGTTTTACTTTAAACTGCCTGCGCATTAATGTTTTTTTTTATTTTTTGTAATAAACAAAATACACAACAACATGAATTGAAGTTAAAAATAAAAAGTACAAACAGGACTGAAGCTGTATTTTGTTTTGTTTATGGCAACTGTCTTTTAAATGATTGATAAATTGATACAAAAATTGTTTTGATGGGAAGGTTTCAGTTGAATTTAATTATTTTTAAAAGAAATATTGTTAATTTAAAAAAAAATCCTGTTCTGTGTTTTGCACTAAAAATAATCTCAGGGTGAATGAAGCTAACAGCAGGATTCCAGGGGCATGCAGGTGAAAGTTAAACATTTACTCACAACAAAATTACGAATGTACAGACTCTTAAGAACAGAAATCAGAAATAGCACAGCAGAAAAATAAACCCCCAAAGTCAAGTTTTACACGAACGAGTACAAACAGAACAAAGATGAGGCGCTAATGGACATGAATGATCCAGATCTGATGGGAGCGCAAACAGAAATACAAATAAAGTAATAGAAAGAAAACAAATAAACAAACAAGAGTAACATTTCCCATATTCCAGTCTCTCAGAAGTAAAGATGGGCAGAGGTTTAGGAGTCTCCAAAATTACCACGGTGTCTAAAAAGTGTAACAATTTCAGAATGAATGGAAGATTGGGCGGACTTTGAAAATCCCCTTATCTGCAGTTCATGATATCATCAAAGGAATTCAAGAACTCACTTCTGAATCATAAAATCCATCCATCCATTATCTTTACCCGCTTATTCCATTTTGGGTCACGGGGGTCGCTGGTGCCCATGTCCAACAATCACTGTGCGAGGGGCGGGGTACACCCTGGACAGGTCTCCAGTCCATCACAGGGCCACATAGCAACAAATGAGACAAACAACCATACAGTCTCTCATTCACACCTAGGGACAATTTAGAGTTACCAATCAGTCTAACATGCAGGTTTTTTGGTCTGTGGGAGGAAACTGGAGTACCCGGAGAAAACCCACGCATGCACAGAGAGAACATGCAAACTCCACCCAGAAGGCCCCTGGACTGGGGTTTGAGCCAAGGACCTGCTCGCTGAGAGGCAGCAGCTCTACCAGTTGCGCCACCGTGCTGCCCAATCATAAAATCAAGTGTGTTAAATAATCAAAACAGACAAATATAAAGCTAAAAACACTACAGAAACCCCTAAACTTTGACATTTATCTACTGTCAAGTTTATTAGAACAACATAAAGTTGATTTGGGCCTTTTTACTTACAATATACTTTACTTGAATACTGGTTTATTCTTTGGTACATATTCTGTACATAATGGGTCTTTTAACGTATCAACACTTGATGTTGCTCTTATTTAAATCACTTTGTGAAAAACGTGCCGGCTCACTGTTAAGACAAGTGTATCTTTGCCAAGGGTTACTTGATAAGAACTCAAAAGGAGACAGAGAAAAGGACTTTATATTTAATACATTCCCAATTGTCAGTATCCATGACA